TCCTCCACAACTAGACTGAAGAACAAAACGACAGCAACTTGTCTGTTCCCCTTCCCCCAATTCCCCAGCACTGTTCCCATCCCCCAGCACTGTTCCCATCTCCCCAATTCCCCAATAAAAATCTTAGGAAAAAAAAAAACAACTATTATCCACTTCAGCAAAGGAGTCACTCGTGTCACCAGTGAATGTGTGAAGCTCTGACATACATCTTTGTTGTTTCACTTTTATCTTATTCATTAAGATAAATGACAATATCAACCAACATTGATGTGGGAACCACACTCATTCATCAGTTGCAATCATGGGTTGGGTACAGATACAAGAGTTTGGCACAAGTCAACAAAGGAGTTTTGTGAGAATCAACTGGCTATATGGAATTTATAAAGTGTATTGCAAATGTGATTGTATATTTTGTATATGTTGGAGATTTTATTTGTAAATTGTGTGTTCACATCCTTTATATCAGTAAAACTTATAATAAACATATGTTTGGGTGTATATACATAGATACGTGTATGTGTATATAGAGAGAGAGACAGGCTTACATTTACTTTCCTGGAAAGCCACAGTCACCTGTTGATCAGCACATCACTGCTTTCAGGCAGCAGCAGAACAGGCCCCAGCCTGTCTGTGCAGCACAGGAGGCGTGATGCCCGGCCTGGCCAGTCTAAGCACGGGCTTGGGGAGGGCACCCAAGGCCAGGCTGCCTTGAGCTCAGGAGAGCCCGGAGTGGTGAGGGAGGGGCACCTGGGCCTGCAAAAGATGACACTGCATGAAACCGAACACCACTCTGTGGCGGTGGCAGTGACCACGGATCGGGCTGTCAACCTGCCCACCAGGGCCTGGAGTCCAGATCCTCCTGACTTGCCCACCAAGTGAGAAGGGACCCTCTTGGCATCACACACTCAGTGAGTCAGTGGCCTGAAGCCTGGCCAGCCAGATAGAGACTCAGCCCTGCCTGGGCACCAGGGGATCTGAGGGGCCCTGGTTGCCTCAATCCTTGTGATGCCACCCCCACTCTTTCAGCTCCTACCTTGTGAGGCACCTGACCTGAGGCCCCACCCTGGCTGGCCTTGTGGCACCCTCCCAGGTGGGTGCTCTCCCGGGGCAGGAGGCCAACTAGCCCTCCTCAGGAAGCTCGGCAGCGCACCGTGCACACTCCCAAACTAGCCCCTGCTGCTCTTTCTCTATGGAGCACCCTCCCTACCTCCTGCCATTCTGTCCTTGGCCAGGCCCCAACCCCTCTAACTCCTTTCTCCCTCGGTCACCATCCTTCCACTCCAGGCCTGCTCTAGTCCCTTCTCCACAGCAGCCTGAGAGGTATTGAAAAAAACCAGAAACCAGATCCTGCTCCTCCTCTGCTTACGACTCTCTGTGGCTACCTATTGCCTTCAGGGTCAGTCCGGAACCTCTGGCCCAGGCAATGAGGATGGTCTGGCATGGCCACTGACTGTGCTCTGGTCTCGCCATTCTGCCACTTTGCAAATTGTAGTGGCACTAGTCACTTTGACCTACTTAAGGTTTCCCAAATGGCCCGGCTGGCTCAGGACTCAAGGCTTTGCTCGTGGGAGTCACTCTTGGGCGTGGCCGCCCCACCCACCCCACCCCTTCTCACCTGCTCGCCCTGTCTCCCGGATATCCCACCCCTGCCTTGCTTCATTGTTTGGTGACACAGGTGGGGCCCCAGAGGCAGATTCGCTGGCTCCCTACAGAGCAGCCTCCTGGCTCTCCTTGGGCCACACATGAGGGACACGGAGCCCACGATGGACTCTTTCTTAGGTGTCACCCTTACTGCGCCGGCTAGCCCCTCCCCTACACACCTCAGGTCAGCTGTGCAGCCCATTCTGTCCCCGGGCACAGCCCGGAGCCATCCATTATGCCCCTCACCCTGCATGCTCCAGTGGGCTGTTTGCATGTATGTGCCTGCGTGTGGCTAGGAGTGCCTCACTTACCCCCAAGCATGCTTTGCTAGGTACTGTGCTGCTCTGTCAACCTATCATAGCATTTAAGTGTGTTGTGGAGTAGGCACAGAGGCTCTGGGAGAGAAAGGCGCTGGCTTGGGGTCTGGAAGGCGCAAGTGCTGGAACTGGGCTTTGCAGTCAGGCAGGCAGTTGGCTCTGTGGGCTCAGCTCCCTGGGCTGAAAAAGCCTGAGCTTCCTGGAGGCTGAGGCTGCAGCTCCTTTTTCCATCTCCCTCCCGGACACAGAAGTCCCTGAGCCCCTGTTTACACATTTCATGGGTCTCTGAGAGACCCAAGAAATGCAGGGAGCGGGGTAATAATCAAGGCAACGGTACTAGACCAGCCAGGGCAGAGGCCCGTGGCTCTGGGTCCACAGCCTGTGAGCACCCATTCTCCAACTCCCCCACCTCCAGACTCACTATAGAGATAGGCCACAAGGGGGTGACCCTGAGGGGCTCTGCCCTGTTCCGTCAGGGCTCCCCGCTTGCCCCTTGGGCCAGGGCGTGGGGGTGGTGGGTGACTGGAGAGTCAGCTGGTGAGCAGTTGGTGATGTTTATTGTGAGACAGGGTAAGGGGTGGGAGCCCACAGCAGCAAACTCTACTGGAGCACGGGCCAGGGGTGAGGCTGTGGGGCTAGGTAGGCCAGAGCCCGGGGAAGGCCTGGCGGATGCACAGCTAAGAGGATGCCCAAGTAAGAGGATGGGGGAAGGGCAGCGAGGCACTGGTCCGGTGCCTGCTCCAGGCCTCAGAGCCCAGCTAAATGGTCAAGACTGGCATTGCCCATGGCACAGGAAGTGGGCCTTGTCCCCCTGGAAGTCCGTGTCACCAAGCTCCTGGCGCTCAGACATCAAGGCTTGGGCCATCAGGAGGCACATACATGGGCTCGATGTGAGCCCAGCTGCGGGCCTGCTCATCAGCCCAGGTGAGCAGCTCAGCAGCCCGGTGCAGGAAGACCATGAGCAGGGTGTGCACATCGCCCTCTGCCGAGTGGGCTGCGCTGGGCTCCGCCTGGAAGTAGCGGCGGAAGAGGCTCCCCAGGCTGTAACCCTTGCAGCCCTGGGCCCGGGTGGCATGGCTGTGGGCACGGTCCAGGCCCCGCAGTGCTGGCAGCGTATCCAGGCAGGTGGTGTCCCGGGGCAGATGGGCACCCAGGCGCCGCAGCTCCGTGCACAGCAGAGGGAAGTCGTAATCAAAGCCATTGTGGGCCACGAGGCAGATGGGGCCCTCTTGGCGGCTCAGGAAAGCCTGGAGCGTCCGCACCACGGCATTGTCGAAGTTGGCCTTCTGGCACTGTGCCAGGCCCTCGCTGCTCAGGCCGGTGATCTCACTGGCCTTGGCGGTAAAGGGGCGATCTGGGCACATGCATAGTGTGAGCTTGTCCAGGACCCGGGGCAGCACAGGGGTGCCAGCCTCGTCACGCTCTGGGCTCTCCAGGGACGAGCGGTGGACGGCAAACAGAGATATCTCAGCAATCTCAGGGTCCACATTGGGGAGTCCAGTGGCTTCCAGGTCCAGGAAGACAAAGGTCTTAGCCCGGGGCACCTCAGACATGGTGATGTTCGCACGGGGACAGTGATGCCTAAAGCTGCCAGAGCAAGAGGCACAAAACCTGAGGACCAGAGATGGGGATACCTGGGCCCAGCCACCCACAGACGTGCCGGTGGCCAAGCCTCCGACCCTTTGGGTTTACTTCCTGCCACCCCCACCCCACCCCACCCCACCCCATCCCATCCCATGGGACTTGAGGCTCTAGTAGCAATTTCTAAGGCCAGCATTCAGGGAGACTGCTGAGGGGCCTCCAGAGCTAGGACCCAGTGACCAGGGTCTGTTACGTCTGTGCAGGATGAGACCTGCTAGGGGCTCATCACCCCCTCCATGCTGTCCTCAGTCCCCACTACTGGCCATCCCCACTACCACTTAGTAAACAGCAGAAAGCCCTGATGTGCCCAGACCCCAGCCCAGAGGCCTCTGCCTCCTGCCTCCAGGTCCATGTCATCGGCGACATGGGGAGGTACAGTCTAGGATGGTATCTTCACGGAGACACCATGGCCAGGAGCCCGAGACATTACAGCCTGGGTCTGCACTCCTAGGGTAAGCTTCCAGGAAGCAGGCACCTGAGAAAGCCTCCCTCATCCCCAGTCTCCATGGCACACAAGTGCTGGCCCCAACCTGGCCTCCACCTGCCTCTGGGCTCCCGGCGGCCGTCCTTGCCGACCCAGCCATGCTGACTTACCTGGGGCGGGTGCTGGCTGGTTTCCTGGGCTGCTGGACACCTGTCTCAGCACAGGCTGCTCCAGGCGGCCTTTAATCAGCAGCCATGGCCCACCCCCTGCCGCCTGTTGGGCAACAAGAAGGCCTGAGGCCGCAGGACCTGTGCGGCCGGCTTGCCACCCCCTCGCTCACTCACAGCTACTGGGACACACGCCCCGTGTTTACAAATTGGAAAGCAGGCACCCGACTGGCTGTGGGCTGAGGACTTGTCATCACAGGCACAGGAGGAAGCCGGAGCCTTCCACCCAGCCCTGCCTCCAAGTCTGACCTGGCCAGGCTACAGCAGCCGGGCCTGGCCAGGCTGGGTTTCACACCCAGCCCCATGCTGGGGCACTTCCCACAAAGGCACTAGGCCTCTTCTCCAGGGCGCAGTTCCCCTTTCGTCACAGGGGACTGGGCTGCCCCTCGTGAGGGTAAAGCGAGCTCAGAGTGGGAAAGAGGTCACTGCACACACCATGCTCAGCCACAAAGGGGAAGGGTGCACTCAGGACGGGGCCTCAGTACCACCTCAGTGACCAGGGGTGGCTCACCCAGCTTTCAGACTCATCTTCCACCAGGAAGGGTATCTGCCTCAAGGGTACCATGACCCATAGTATCTAAGGAACCTTTAGCAGAGGCTTCCGGGTTAGGAGGAAGGGAGGCAGGAGGCTTCAGCTGAGCCGGCCTTCCCCTCTGAAGGATGAGCAACGCGAGGGGCAGGAGTAGAGGACTGCCCCAGCGGCACCCACAGCTCCGAGACCACGGGAGCAGGGGTGAAGCCCAGCCCCTCCAGCCCCAGGCTCCAGGGCCTGCCCAGCCCACCAGGCTCAGTCAAGGTGGGAAGGAAGCGAGAAGGCCATCCCTGGTCCAGGAAGCGGGTGGCAGCAGCTGAGAACGTTGTCCTGGAGCAGAACATGCCAGCACTTGGCCTGTAGAGTTGGCATGCCTGGGCAGTGGTGATCATGGGCCTGCCTGTCCTCCCACCTCCCACTGCAGCCGTCAAGGTGATGCCCAGGCAGCCTGGGCGGGACGGAGCCTCCTGTGTGGAGTACCCACAGGGGACTTGGCGAAGCGAAGATGCAGCTGCGGGGAGCAGGGCAGAGGGGGTGCCAAGTGAAGTAGGGCAGAGCGGACACAAGTGGGGCTGGCAGCCAGGGTGGACCTCCCTAACAGGCTGTGTTTAGAGGGGGCCCCTCCTTGATCCCCTTTAGACCTGACACTGGGCTGAGGAAGGCGGGGGCCCCACCAGTTGTGCCTGTTCCCGTGCTCCGAGAGGGAGGTGGCTATGACAGGCACACTTCTCAGGAAGATACTGGGTCACCCTGAGAAGCCCAGAGAGCAGCTTCCTGGACAACCAGTCAGGCCACTAGCAAGAATTCCCCAGGCTGGTACTGGGCGCCCTGGGGAAAAAGGACGAGGAAACCTGGGCCAGGCCCAGCTCACCACATCCCAGGTGCTGTGGGTGCCAAGGAGCAGGCTGAGGGGCTTTGAGGAGTCCTCACATGGGACCCTGAGGCTGGTCACGGGCGAGGTGGCAGTGGGGTGGGGGCAGGCTCCGGTCACAGGCGGCCAGGCGGCATGGTGAGGTGGACACTTCCAAGCTTAACTAGGCAGTGCCAGGCGGAAGAGCGACGCAACGGGAGCTGCTCGTGCCCAGGGAGGGTGAGGCAAGATAGCGGCAGCGTCCAGGCCCCCCAGGAGAGCAGGAGGCTCATGCCACGTGTGGTCTAGGACTCAGATCAGCCAAAACGGGAAGAAGGGAGGACTAAACGGAAGGTGTCACAGGCCTCTCAGCCCGGGCAGGACAGTAGAGGGACGGAGGTGGTCACGTGGAACCAGGGAAGCAAAAAGCAGGCTGGAGGCAACTTCTTGGAACCTGAGGGTTTTTTTCTCTGCAGCTCACACTGCCCTGCCCCATCTCTGCCCTTTCCTTCCCAAGGAGGTGAAGGTCCAGGCAGCCGGAGGCTGCGTCCAGAGAACATGGGGGCTGTAAATGCTTCTCCCGCCCAGTGGCTCGGTCGGTCCTCCCTGGCCGCCTGGCTCTTTGGGGCCCAGCTTCCGTCTCCCAGACTACTCCAGGCCTTTGTGCAGATCATCGTTGAAGAGCTTCTATTTCTGGGTTAGTTCTTCCATTTTCGTGGCTGCAGAGCAAAGAAAAACGCAAAAGCATAGTGAGTCTAGCGCCTCCTCTCCTGCACCTGGCCCTTAAAGGGCTTGCAGCCTAGGGGCCCGACTCCCACCATGACACAGAAAATGCTGAACCAGGAGCTGCTCTGGGGGCGGGAGGCTGGAGAGCATGGAGGGGAGGGCTGAGGACAGATAGAAGGCCCCTGCCCACCCCCCAGAGTGGGGGAGGGTGGTAGTAGGGGGGTTGTTGTGATTTACTCTGACACAAATCAAATGACATGGGCCTTAGGTGTGACCTGCCGCTTGGCTTTCAGGGATGGGGAATACCACCACAACACGCACCTGCCTCTTGAGGTACCAACTTCAGATGATGACCACTGGGCACAGTGTGGCAACTTCAACTCACTGCCCTCTCTCACCCTGGGGACAGGGGTTTCCCTGGTGGTGGTGCCTCAACTTTTACAGACACCTCTTCAATCCTCCACCAACTTGCTTCCCTGCCTCCTGGCTGGTCCTCTCCCCTTGCACATGACAAGCTAGTTAATTGGCATTTGGTCCCACCCATCCCGAGGGTGACTCTGAAGCTCAGGAATCGTGGGGTGTGCCTCCGGGTGATTAGCCTCAGCTCAGTGCTGGAGCAGGCAGACTCCTAGCAGAGCGGGGACCAAGCTCAGCCCACCCCAGACCGGCCCCGACGACCCTCCCGACACTTGGTATCAATGCTCCTTCTGGGGTCAGGTTAGTGTGCTTTGCTGCACAGATGGGCTTTTCCTAAGTCTCTTTGGGCATCATCTGCCTTTATGGAATCCTCAGGTTTTCCCAGTCTCTAGATCCCTCCAGCCCACTCCACTCCCAGGGCTGCCCTCACCCTGCCTGCTAAATGAGCTCATGTCTCCCCTTTGTACCAGACTCGAGTCACACTACCTGGCACTCTTGGCTCACAGCTTGGCTGGGTCTCGATCCTAGGCTGGAAGCCCCTGGCCCTCTGCATGTCCAAGGCATCAGCCTCTAGAGGCCACAGGGCTCTCTCTCTGGAGGCTTGGACCCCGGCCCTGGGTCCCTACTACTCCGGACTCCAGGAGGCTGGGTCTGGGGACGTGTCTTTTGGGTTCCATCTGCACTGGGCTTGGAATATGGACACTCACCCCCTCAGCTCTGCATGCCCGTCGCTTCACTGGTAACCTCAACCCTCCATTTTCCTCCCTCTCTTTCTGTGGAGAGCCTGTTAGCCACCTGGATCGGGCCTCTGCATCGATTCTCTGTGTCTTCATTTTATCTCTTTTCTTTCTAGGCTTACAGATTTGTTGCCTCATTTTGTTTTCTACTCTTTCCATTGATTTTTCAACACTTTGGCAAGCATGTTTAACTTCTAAGAGTGTCTGCTTGTTTTTCTCCACGTTGGTTTTCATTTGGACATGATACAGTAAGTCCTCACTTAATGTCGTCGATAGGCTCTGCGGCTCTAAGTGAAACAATGGATAATGAAACCAGTTTTAGCACAGGCTAATAATGGATAAAAGGAGAGTTAAGTTCCTACAGCATCTCATCAACATTACAGCAAAAGGACATTATTCAAGGACCTGCTATACTATGAAAAGTTCCCTTCTCTGAACGACACATTAGCCCTGCTTTTCCAGGTTTTTCTCTCTTCCATGGTGCTGGCCCCACTGTGCTCTGGTGGAGTCGCCCATTCCCCGCAGGGTCTCCCCTACCCCCAACAGGAGCTCTGTGGGTGCAGGGCAGCAGGAGCAGACAGGACTGTCAGCACTCATGCCACGGACCCTCAGAGGCCAGAAAGAGGTGGGCTTTACCTGGGCTGCTGCCAGGCACACCAGGAGCCTGGGTTTGCCATTCATTTCAATCATTTTCTTCACCAAAAAGCAGGCCCTTAGGGGCTCACTGGGCGTACCAACCTATAGAGAGACCTGCTCTGCTTGCGCCCTCTGCTTCCAGCCTACTCGCCACTGTCCCCTCCCCGGGGCTGCCAGCCACACGGCCCCGGAACTGCGGTGATTCCAGAAGGCAAACCGGGTGTCCTCTTGGCTGTGGCTTTCTCCACCCCTTGCATCTGTCGAATTGCTCCCTTCTACTCGGTAGCTTCTAGAACCCTGTTTCCATCTATCTGTGTTGGTGCTGTCAACTCCCCACCTTCCCCTCCTTCACTCCTAGCACTGACAAGGTAGCTTTGTTTTCAAAATGCACTGTTATTTTCATGGCATTGGGGTTTCTGGAGGCCTAAATGGGGTCTCAGGTCCATCCAATCAAGACGGTGACTGGTGAATGATGATGGGACGGTGACCAACAAAGCCTGGCTACTCTCACCCAGGTCAATGGCCCGGTTTCTTATACCAGGAGGGGAAGTAGCACAGACACACAGACCTTGCACAGTGGGAGGGCCTGAGGAGGTCATGGAGACCAAGGCCCTCATTTGTCAGGTGGGAACAGGAGAGATGCACAGGCCGTTTCGACTGGCCCTTGGCACAGACCGTTTCTCTGGCAAGCCTATAGCCCAAAAACTCCTTTCAAACCAAATCAGGAAGCTGTACTCACAAGAACTGAGCCCTCCAAGTGGAAGGCAGCACCACCCAACAAAGCACAGAGGGAGAGGTGGGGGAGGGCAGGGTTCACACAGCTTAGACAGAAAGGGTGCCTATCTAAAAGGTAAAACTTGCCACCAGTCCTGTGACCACAGGTGAGGTGGCACATGGTGCAGAACACTAATGATCATTATTACATTAATGACAGCGTGGATTATAAGCTTTTTATTAACAGCAATTATATACACTGGGGGTGAGAGTCATAGTGACAGTGGTGATTAGGATAAACGTTATGGCAAATTTGAAAATGGAGGATTCTGTTGCGGTTCAGTCAGAAACAAGTGAGACTCCTGACTGCCTGGTACACATGTGGCAACTCTGTGTGGCAAGGGCAAGAGCAGGGAGAAGGCCAGCCACCCCGAGAGAGGGTTGGCTAGAGAAGAGAGTTCCTGCAAAGACGGCCCTCCAAAGGGAGGGCTCAGAGGCTATGTGACTTAAAGCCACTCCTTGGGGGTACACTGGAGGGAAACTGTTTACAGGCAAATGCTTTAGTGGCTGCTGCCTGAGGCAGTGGATAAAAGTTGGGGCAAACAGTTTAAGCAGAAAGTGTGAGAGGAGAGACTGGGGAATGAGATGCCCACAAGGGAAATCTCGAAGGCACAGGCATGCCCCGGGCTGTGCAGATGCCCAGGAGAGACCTGAGGGGGTCCTGAGCGATCAGCTCTGACTGACCCTGAGGCTCGGAGAAAACAGGAAATGAAGGAGAAGGAAGAATTGTCAACCGTGTGACCAAATGTTAATGAAAACATGAAACTACGCAACAAAGAAGCTCAAAACACTCCAAATGGGATAAACTCAAAGCAATCCACACCCACACATATTCTAATCAAACTGTCAAAAGCCAAAGGCCAAAAGAATCCTGAAAACAAGAACAGACAAGGGGCTGTACCGGAGGGGGCTTCCATAAGAGCAACAGAGACACGATATCCCCAAGTCAGGACATCAGTTAGCTGTAGACAGGAAGAGGCGCGTGGCGGGTTTCTAGGCTATTTCTCAACCCGGGTCATGGTTACACAAGTATTCACTTTAAAAGCATTTGAACTGGATTCAAGGGAGTTTGCTGTAGTTGGACATATCCAACTATTCCATGTTTCTATCCCTATGAGTTGAGACTCCTCCCTAAAGGCTCAATTTCTTATCAAAGAAAGTTTTCTCAATGTATATGTCCATAATAAAGAAATAAATTTACTCAGAAAAAAGGCCTAATTGAAACTAAATTCAGCCACATTTTTGCTCCTACCCAAGAGCAGAAATGTTGGAAGGGTCAAATCTAGCGCAGATGAGGATACAGAAAAATGTAGAGCGCTTGGCCTTACCAACATGAGCTCAGGAACCCCATTCAAAGGTCATAATCTTAAAGGAGAACACACTGTATGTCCAAACATATTCACTGCATCCTTTTTTATAGATTGACAATGAGGGGACTACCTAAGTAATACATGCTCATTGGGAAATATCTGAAGACTACAGAGCAGGATAAAGAAACAGAAATCGAACTAAACCGCCTGATTCCAACATGGAGAAAACCAATGTTCACATTCTGGTCCATCTCCTACGAGGGGTTCTTCTATGGTGTTTTCCTTTAGAAAGGTGAGGTCATACTGTGTGTTTCCTTTTTACCCTGCATTTTCCCTTCAGCGTTCTATAATATGCATTTCGTCATGTCACCATCCCTACCTTTTGAAACAACAAATACTATCCCACCATATGGTACACCATTATCTATCTGAGCATTACCCAAGGGTAAAGCATTGCCTTGTTTTCCTCTTACACTATTATAAATCCTGTGACAGCATTATGAATATTAAAAACCTGAAAACCACCTACAGCTAAGGCACAAAAATGGTAAGCAAATTATATCAAACGGCTGAATGGAATAGTGTTTGAAAATTAAAAATGCTACTTCGAGAACATGGGGAAATGCTTATAATGAAGTCCAAGGGAAAAGGACATAATATAAAAGTGTACACGTGTTGTGATCACACTTAACTTCTACAAAGAAATAAACAATGATGAGAGGAAAAAGAACAGAGGGAAAGAGATCAAAATATTAACACCAACCATTTCTGGGCCACCCGGTTATAGACTGGGTTTATTTTATCTTTGCACGTCTTTGGGTTAGCCTAAATTTCTACAATTAATGTCCTCGTTTTATAACCTGTCAAAAGCATTTTTTCATGGGAAGGAAAACCTTATACGTTCGAGAAAGAAGTAAGGGGCCAGTCCCCAAATGCTCTGCAAATGCTGGTTGAGCACAGAAGGAGCCCAGGCACGAGGCAGGTGCTCAGCTGAGGTGCACTGGGACAGCCCTGCCACTGACTGCCGAGCGGGCAGCCGTAGCCACAGAAAGTAGTGACCACATACCTGGACTCATCACACAGTTGTTGCTGCTCCAACAGACGTGCTCTCTCTTGTGCTGCTTTGCCATCTTCACAGCTTTGGCCGAGGTGTCAGTGACCTCCAGCACCACTTTCAACATCTGGGAGGGAGGGAGAGCGGGAGGCATTAAGTACTGGTGGTCTGACCTACAGAAGACACCTCCTGCTTCCCACTCAGGTTCACACTGAGCATGCGCTTCTCCCTAGGCCCTCAAGCATGTGGCATTCACCTCCAAAGATAGCCCTGGGTGATGGCAGGACTCCCAGCTACCTGGAGAGTCACCAGTAAGAGCTCTCCAACCTAACTCCCTGCCTACAGGCCACACTATCACGTGCTCCATCCCACACTGGTAGCCAAGCAAAGCCACTGGCACAGTGCAAAAATTTCCCATGGTGGGAATCAATGTCCCAAAATAAAAGGGCCTTTCTGATGGGAGAGGACTATACCCTAACTTGCCCTGTTGGCAGAGTCGCAAAGGACAGGCTGACCACGTTTGGAAGTCTACGAGCCTTTCCGTTAAAAAACCAAGACAAATGCTGTGGAAGCACTGAGCCAATGTCAGCGTTCCATGAGTGGCAACTGTGCTCATAATCATAACCAAAGCCGCGTTTAGGTCTGCTCTGGGGGTCTGAAATGTGAGACAACGAAATGAGTAAATATTCACATGGTTAGCTCAGCAGCGTGAGGCCTCTTTTGCCTGTCTGTGTGAGCTGGGTCAAAGGCACAGACAAGCAAGTATCTGTCTGGCATAGTTCTTGGTCATACACAAGAATGAAGAGGCCATGATACATTCGGGTGTATCGTGAATACAGAATGAGACCAATATAGGGAAAGAAGCTGGAACAAAATACTCTGCAGCCACTAAGATCATGCTTTTAAAGAAGTTGGAACGATGTACAACAGTGCTCACAATAAAAATTGCAGTGAAAGAGCAAGGGTGTCATATAGTCAACTAGGACCTGGTGCAGACAGTGCACAAACCTCTTCCGGGCCCAGGGTCTTATATCAGTTAACACCCCCAGAAGTATAATGGGGCCTTCAGGGGGCCACCCATGTTAGCCCTCATTCCCACCACGGCACCAGAAGCTCCTGCGCAACCCACCCACGATCCCTGGCTCAGAGCTGGAACCCAGGGCCCGGAGCCCAGCAGTGCCTCCTGCTCACACGGAATGTGGGCCAAGCCCCTCCTAGCCCCCGTGCCAGCCCTCAGGTCCTCCATGGGGGCTGCAGTGTGAGAGGAGAGGGTGATTCTTACCTGGCTGCGTGAAGTCAGAGTCTGGAACACGGCCTGGACGATGGGGCCACACGGGTGGAGGTAGGGGCTTGGGCGCTGACAGCACTCAGCCAGCTCGTCGTCATAGACCTGGAGGAAAGCTACGACGAGCTGGTGGAAGTCAGAGATGACCAGGCGCAGCTTCTGATCCACGGTGCTGCTGTTGGCCCCGCTCACAGCGGCCCCTGGCTTGCTGTGCATGAAGTGCTGCAAAACCAGAGGCAGAGGGTCCTTTAAGGCTACCCTGCCTGCCCCTGGGGAATCAAGCCCCTTCCCCCCACCTGGGGGCAGGGGCTTCTGGCCACCCCAGGCTTCCATAAACCAGGACAACTAAGACCAGAGGCGGAAAAGAGCAACTTGGTTTAGAGCAAGGCTGCTTGGCTTCTGGCCTCAGTCCTGCCACCGCCACGTGTGTGGGCATCAGTTTCCTCTTTAGGAAAATAAGGAAGCCAAGCCAAGGGCTGCTGGGAGGGCCACACACAAGGCAGCACATGAAAGCCTGGAGTTTGGGACCTGGCTTGTAGCCTGCCTGAGGCCAATCCTTTCCATTCTTGTATGCCTCTCCCCTTCACGTGGGCGCCCACCACATTCTAGAACCCATCAGGCCCTGTGCATGCACCACCTCACTTAAGCTCATTGTAAAGATGGGGTGCCTGAGGTCCCAGGAGCCAGCACCCTCACCTCCGACCGCAGTGCCTGCAGTTTGGCCACACTCTCCTGCAGCTGCCTGGCCAGTTCCACCACCTTCTCCTCCTCTCCTTCCTCCTCTTCCTCCTCCTCTTCTTCCTCCTCTTCATCCTCCTCCAACTCCACAGAGGGGCTGGCCCTGCAGGGAGACAAGAGGGGACACTTCCAGCTCTGGGCTGTTGTGGGCCACACCTGGAAGAGCCTGTCCAGGTCCCAGAACCACATAGGGCCCATACCTCTGCCAGTCACTGCCCTCCTCGTCAAGGAGGGATTGCATGTCCAGGTACCACGGGGCACACTCGGGACTCAGGAGCATTTGCAGCTGGAAGCTGGAGAAGAGCTCCCCCAGCAGTGCCTCATTCTTCTCCCTGGTGTCCTCGAAGTGCTCCTGCACACTGCAAAGGTGGCCACGCTGTCACCGGCCGGAGCATGACATCCAGGGAAGGTGCTGGCACCTTTGCTGAGGTCCCATGCAAGAAACCCAAGAAGCCAAACCAAGAGCCAGCAGAAAGGCCAAGAGAGGGGTTCTCCTCCAGTCCCTGTCTTTTGGTGGCCGCAGCCAAGCCCCACACGTCCGAGAGCCCGCCACTGACAGGGACAGTGCAGCATCCACTCTCCCCAGCGGGCCCAAGCCTTTCACCCTGACAGCCTGCAGCCATCAAAGCAAGCAATGAAATCCCAGCTAGAGATGGGCCTGGCGGCAGGCCCAGAAGCCCAGAAGGCCCCTTGTGCATGCAGCTCCAGGTGGAGGACCAAGGGCACCCGCTGGCCGTTCTGTGCAGGGCCCACTCCCAGCCTTTACCTGGAGCAGCTGGAGTATCCGATGGTCAGGCTCTGGACTGTCTCCAGCAGCTGGTCCATAAAGTGTAGCTGCTTCTGGGCACAGGCCCGGCCCTGGGCAGGGGAGGCCACATGCACTCGCTGGTCAGGCATGCCGGGTGTCCCCGCCCCACACTCTACCCTGCTGGGGCCAGTGGAAAGGAGGGGCCTGGGTCGCCAGCTCCCTGGTCCCCTTGGCCTCTGGGCCACTGTCTTTGAGCATTCCCTGTCCAAGCCCAGCCCCGGATTGCAGTGATGCCTGGGACCACATCTGAAAGTGGCAAGTGCTGTAGAAACATCTGGGAGTGTGTGCTCACCACACATCCAATAGTGCGGCTTCTTGGGTAGGCATGCAGAGCACAGCAGGGCCTTCTGAAAGCAGGACACAGCCCACAGGGACCTGACGGTGGCCCATTCCTTAGGAACATCTCCAGGAGGCCTCTCCTCGGCGGATCACCTTCCCCAGCCAGGAATGACTGAAGCCAACTGGCACAGCAAGACAGGGCCACAGAGGTGGCCTGCGCTGACCCTCCTCACAGGGAGAACAAGGACTCGTCCCTGACAGACGGCCCAGGGTCCCCAAGCAGCAGCTGACTTAGTCCCCTGCCCTGAAGGTGGCTGGAATTCCTGGCAGGCAGCTGTCCAGCCAGGAACTCGAGGCTTCAGAAATACAACTCCTTCCTCCTTCCAGAAAGGGGAGGAGGCTCACAGCTGCTCCCCTGGACCCATTCACAACCTCAAAGGCCTGGCCTGCTCCAGAGAACCCTAGGAGCAGGGGTGCCAGAAACAAAGCTGGGCCTGCTGCTCCATTTTAGCTCCCCATTGCCCTGCCCCAACACACCTGTTCTGCTGAGGAATGCGCCAGAATGATTCGCTCAGCCAGCATCACTGGCAACTTCCTATAAAGCCCTCTAAGAAGCATTTGCACTAAAGTTACAGGCTAAGTGAAAGGGCTGAAAGGCTCCTGGTTGCATTTCAGGCCAGGTGGCCCTGGGTTGGGAATAAACCTGGGGACAAGGGACATGCTCTGCTATAATGTTTGCAGCTCGGCTCCCTGTCCATGGGTGCCAGGCCTCATGGCTGCAGCTGCCTGGCACTGCCCACAGGCTGGCTCCCGGTTGTATGGCCACATCAACAGGACCAGTGTATCTGGAAGCTTGTGGTATCTCCATCTCTACGCCCTCCACCTGCCACGGGCTGCTCAGGCTTCATCACTACCTCCCGTTGACTCATTCTCCCAATCTGCCCACAGGACACTGAGCCCAAGTGACACACCTGAAGGGCAGCCTGGGAGTAGGAGGTCAGAGTGCGGGACACTGTCTAGACAGAAACATGAGAGCAACTGTCACTCAGTACTTCACATAGCCTTGACCAGTGGCCAGGGTTAGGACTGCCACCCTAACTGCCACCCACTCCTCAGCACAAACGTAGCTCCCATAGCCCCTCCTGATGCCCAGGAAGGGGTAGGTACTCATGCCCGGGATTCTGCCAGCCTGGAGTGGGGCTGGGACTGTGGCACTGACCCCACTGGGCAGTCCTGGCCTGTGTCTCCCCACAAGCTCCCCAGGCCACAGGCCTGGACCACAGAGGTCCTCTGTGGGTTATCAGGGCCCAGCCTCTCTAAGACACAAGAGTCCCCAGGCTGCACTGCAGCCACCTGGCTGAAGTCCATCCACGGCCTCTAGTGGCCCAGGAGTAGCACCAGGTAGAGGCCTCATCACATCTGTCTCTCCTCTCCTACCCAGCAAAGGTCCAGACCCAATAAGGACACTCAGAAAGGTCTGTAGCATGAATCCACGAAGCCCGAGACCTCCCCATGTTCCGGGTGAGACTTCCCCGCAGGCCCTACCCCAATCCCTCCATCAGCAAACCTGGCGGGCCCAGCTGAATCCAACTGCTTTCCCCGCCACAGCCACCCATGCCAGCACCCGAGTACCTGATCATAGCTGCTGCCTGCCAACAGGTCTGTCTCCTGGAGGCACCCCTGGTCCACCCAGCCACCTCCTTCACACCACGGCCACATCCACCTGTGCTACTGAACAGAAACTCTCTAGTGGCCGCCCACCTCATGAAAAAGCGCACCCTAAGGGCTCCCCAGGCCTACTAAGTTCCACATGGCCTGCCCCCCAGCTCTACTGCAGCCAAAGCAGGCTGCTGGCTGTTTGTGGAACAGGCCAAGCACCTACCACCTCAGGGCTGCTCTCTCACTGTTCTTGAGCCTGGCGCACTCGTCTCGCAGATTTGCTCTTTTCCTTCAGCTACATTGCTATTTTTTATTGAGATATAATGCGCTCACCATGAATTCGCCCTTTTGAAATGCATAGTTCAGTGCTTGTTAGGATACTCACAGAGCTGTGTGGCCATCACCGCAGTGTAAGTCCAGAACAGTTCCAGCACCCCAAAAGAAACCCATCTGTCCCCACTGCAGTCACCTCCCATTCTCCCTAGCCCCCGGCATCCAGGGATCCTGTCTCTGCGGATTTGCCTCTTCTGGACACCGCATATCAATAGGATCATACACTGTGTCAGCTGCTCTCACTCAGCAGAATATTCTTGAGGTTCCTCCACATTGTAGCATGGATTGGTTGGTTGTTCTTTATTATTGCTAACTAATTTATCCATTTACCAGTTAATGAAAACTTGGGTTCTTCCTACTTTTTGGCTATTAATAATACTTATGTGTGGATGTAAGTTTCAGTTCTCTGGGCTCCACTGCTAGGAAAGGAATTGCTTGGTCATGTGGTAACTGTAGGTTTACCCTTTTGAGGAACTGCCAGTCTGTCTTCCATAGCGGCTACACCATTTTCCGTCCCCACCAGCAGTGTATGAGGGCTTCAGCTTCTCCCCATCCTCACCAATGCTTGTTATTTCCTTTTTTTTATTACAGCCATCCTAGTGTGTGGAAACTGGGATCTCATTGAGGTTTTAATTTGCATTTCCCTGATGACTAATGACGGGGAGCGTGTTTTCCTGCACTTATTGGCCATTTGTGTATCTTCTTTGGAGAAATGTCTATTTAGAGCCTTTGCCCATTTTTTTTTTTTTAGATTTTTATTGGGGAATTGGGGGGATGGGAACAGTGCTGGGGAATTGGGGGAAGGGGAACAGAAAAATTGCTCTCCTTTTGTTCTTCAGTCTAGTTGTGGAGGACGTGGCTTCACTGGCCCAAATTGGCACCATCATTGCGCTCTTCCTGGGTGAGGCAGATCAGTCGCCGGCTTCTGGACGGCCGCTCACGGCGGCTGCTGCCCGCTCACGCTGGCTGCTGGCTACATACGGTAGCCCATGGCAACCCACTGCCACAGGGGCTGCAGCCTATGCTGTCGCCGGCGACTCACAGCAGCCCAGCTCCTGGTTGAGCTGTGGTTCAGCATCTTAGCTGTGGAGGGCAGTGTCACTGGCCCTCATATGTGGGATCCGAACCGGGGCCCTCTGGCGTTCCTTTGCCCATTTTTGACTTGTGCTACTTGTCTTTTTATTATTGAGCTGTCAGGGTTCTTTATAGATTCTGGATACTAGGCCCTTATCATACATGTGATTGATCAAGATTCTAATTCTATGGATTCTCTTCACTTTCTCCGTGTCCCTTTGAAGTACCAAGGTGCTTCATTTTAATAAAGTCTAATTGGTCTATTTTTCTTCTGTTGCTTGTGCTTTTGGTATCAGAATGATGACTTTTTAAAAATATCATTACGAATCCATGGATTTAAATACACGTGAAGGGCCTCGGACTACTACAGTCACTGTCCTTACAATGTGTGCATCATCCCCACAATGTCTCCTCTATGGTCAGTGAGGACTTCTATTGCCAGCTGGTTCTGAGTCCTTCGGACATGACCCTAAGTCTTGCTCTCTGGTGTGACAAGGTGATCCTCACTCAACTGGTGCATTTCCTGCCCCAGGCCTGTGTTACAACTGGGGTGTCACTGTTCTTGGCCTTTTCAGGGGACAAAGCAAGGAAATGCACGTGTGTGCACACACACGCACACACACACACACAATTTTTAAGTTATAATACATTAGGATCTCACACTGATGTTGCCAACTCACATTCCGGACTACAGGGTTTGACTAAGCCTAAGGATCTTACACCTGAATCTCCCTTCTCCCATGCCCCAACTCCCAACACCCCCTAATGCCAACATAAATTATGCTTTTGCTTTTATTTTTTATTCCATAAAATGGAATGAAGCATTGATCCATGCTCCAACATGGATGACCCTTGAAAATAATGTGCTAAGTGAAGAAGCCAGTCACAAAAGGCCACATATTATATACTCCATTTATATGAAATAGAGGCAGCAGAGTAGTGGGTAGCAGGGCCTGTGGGTAATGGAGAGAAGCTGCTTAATGAGCAGAGATCTCTAAAGGTGATGAAAATGTTCTAGAACTAGATAGAGGTTGACAGCTGCACAACATTAGGAATGCACTAAATGCTACTAAATTGTCTCTTTTAAAATGGTTTAAAAATTGGGTGCAGAGTTTCAGTTTGGGAAGATAACAGTTCTGGGGATAGTGGTGATGGCTGCACAAAAACATGAATATACTTAATGCCACTGACTGTACACTTAAAATGGTTCAGATGGTAAATTCCAAATGTTATTTATATTTTAGCACAAAAAAAATTTTTTAAAAGAGTAGAGCCACTTCAGGGCCCACTGGGAAATTTTTTAAAAATGGTTAAAATTGTAAACTTTATGCTATGTGTATTTTACCACAATAAAAATTTTTTTAACTTAAGGGAAGGAGTACAGTTCTGAGTAAGATGGAGGGAACACGTGCCATCTTCCTCTCCCACAGAAGACCCACCTCTCGGAGCGGGACAGAACGCATCTGGCAGGTGTCTGTGGCCTCGGAAAGATAAACGCCAGCAGGAGTGTCAAGGAGGCACAGAAGCCAAGGTTACCATTCAGACTGGTGGTGATTTGTGGTGTTCTCTCCCCCGCTCTCCCTGGACCTTTCACTCAGACCAGCCCAAACCCAGAAGGGATCATGGTGGTACAGAGAGAGAGCTTTAGAAAAGGGAACCCCTAACACTCAGAGAGAGTGGGAGAAACCCTAGGCCTTTTTTCTCCCCCTCCTCCCTGTTCTCTCAGAGCCCAGACCCCAAGCAATATCATGGAGGGGGTGGCAGCAGAAAACTGCAGGAGCAAACACTCTGAGGGCAGGAAACCTTCCTCTCCATTCAGTGGAGCTATGGAGCCAAATCCTGTTACCCCTTATTCTTCTCTGTCCTCCCACTGCTGTGGTACAGTCAAGGAAGTCAGTGATTTATGGCTAGAGGATGGAAAAGGAGGCCTCTTGCCCCAGGAACCAGATAGTATCCAAGAGATGACAGGAAGGGAAGAGCTCAGGAAAGTGACCCCATAAATCTGTTCATGAACGCCTGGGCTTATCCCCACCCCCACTCCCCACCCCCCACCTCCACGCAGGGGTTGATCTGATTTTGATGAGCATACAGAAGACTTGATTACTAAGCCAGTGGAGAAGCCAACACCCGGGTCCCAGGTCAACCACCAGGTGGCGCATATGCAGGACAGACCCAAAAAGCCAGAGGCTGTGGGAATTGAGCTGACACTGGGACCACAGACCAGAGAATAGAGCGGAACAGGAAGCTTAAAACAAACCAGGTTAAGTGCCTGCTAAAACACAAATATCAACATTCTCCATAAAATTGAACAAGACCCAAAGTCAAACTAATAATCAAAATGTCCAGAATGCAGTCCGAAATTACTGGGCACGTGAAGAAAACCACGAAAATCTCAACTTGCATGAGAAAAGACAATCAACAAGACATCAATGGCAAGATGGCACAGATGCTGGAATAACCTGAAAAATGTAAGCAGTCATTATAAAAATGCTGAATAGGTAATCATGAACACCCCTGAAACAAAAGTTAAACTAGAAAGCATCAGCAAAGAAACAGAAAATATTTAATTACATGGAAACCTTAGAATAGAAAAATAGAAAAACTGAAATTTAAAACTCACTGATGGACTCAACAGTAAAATGGAGGGAACAGAGGAAAGAGTCAGTGAACTTGTAAACATTAACAGAAACTATCCAGTATGAGCAACAGAAAGAAAACGTCCCAAGTTTGGTGAAAGACAGAATTGTGAAGTTAAGCAAATCCCAACAAGACAAACCCAAAGAAATCTTCCCACAAACACATAATCAAATTGCTGAAAATGAATCAAGAAAACAATTTTGAAGTAGCAGAAAAACAACGCATGACCTACAAGGGGGAAATGATTCAAGTGACTGCAGACTTCTCATCAGAATCTGTGGAAAAAGAAGAACTCTGTATCCAGTGAAAATATCCATCAAGAATGAAGGGGAATTAGACACACTCGAATAAATAAAATCGAAGAGAATATGGACCCAATAGAACGCTTCTAAAAGAATTGCTGAAGGCAGTTTTTTAGATAGATGTGAAATGATACCGAAAGGAAACTTGGAACGTCACAAATGAAGGAAGAATAAAATAAAGGACAAACACCCCACGATCATCTCAATAGATGCAGACAAAGCATTTACAAAATTCAACAACCTTTCATGATAAAAACTTAACAATACAGGAATAAAAGGGAAGATCCTCAAGTTGATAAAGGACATATATATATATATATATATATATATATATATATATATATAGCCAACCGCTAACATCATGCTCAATGGTGAAGATCAGATGCTTTCCCCCTAATATCAGGAACAAGACAAGGTGGTCTTGCCACTTCTATTCAACATTGTACTGGAGGTGCTTGTCAGAGCAATTAAGCAAGAAAAAGAAATTAAAAAGCATCCAAATTGGAAAGACAAATATAAAACTATATTTGCAAATGACATGATCTTGTATACAGAAAATCCTAAGTAATCCACTTAAAAAACTATTAGAACTAATAAGCAAGTTTAGCAAGATGGCAGGATACAAGAGCAATATGCAAAATCAATTGTATTTCCTTCCACACATTAGCAATAAACAATACAAAAATGAAATTAAAACAATTCCATCTACAATAGCATCATAAAGAATAAAATACTTAGGAATAAAATGAACAAAACAAGTGTATGACTTGTACACCGAAAACTACAAAACATCTTTGAAAGAAATCAAAGAAAATCTAAATAAATGGAAAGACAGCCCATGTTCATGAACAGGAAGATTTAATATAGTTGATGGCAATACTCCCCAAAATGATCTACAGGTTCAGTGCAATTTCCACCAAAACCCCGGTTGGCTTTTTTTGTAGAAACTGACAAGCTGATTCTAAAACTTATATGTAAATTCAAAACCCCTAATAGTCAAAACAATCTTTAAAAAGAGCAAAGTTGGAGGAGTCACAGCGTACAACTTACTATAAAGCTACAGTAATCAAGACAGTGTGGTACTGCCATGAGGACAGACATATAGATCAATGGGCTAGAATGGAGAATCCAGAAATAAACTCTCACATTTACACTTAATTTTCAACAAGATGCCAAGACAATTCAATGAGGAAAAAATAGTCTTTTCAATAAATGCAGAAGAATGAAGCTGTTGCACATACCTTAAACCATACACAAAAGTAAAATGGATCAAAATGGATCAAGACCTAAATGTAAGAGCTAAAACTATTATTAAACTCTTCGAAGAAAACATAGGTGTCAGTCTTCATGACTTTGGATTTGACAATAGAGTCTTAAATATGACACCAAAAACACAAGCAACAAAAGAAAAAGTAAATAGACTGGACTTTGTCAAAACTAAAAACTTTTGTGCCCCAAAAGACATATCAAGAAA